TGGCCCATTGCAGTTTTATGTAGTCCAGCTTGTGGTCCAGAGAGCAGACAAGGACAGAGGGGACAGCAGGTCTAGTCAGGTTGGATCTCAACCTGTTGTCAACGCCAGCTTGCTTGCCACGCTCCTGCTTCCTCTCACACCACTTGCGACATCTCTTCCCCTGGGCAGCTTGATCAGGTAGGGTCGCCGTCTCATGGCCAGAGATCTGTAGCACACCATGGCTGCTCAGCTTCTCCCTCAGTGTTGTGTCCTGGTGAGGTGGTTATGTTTTTTTGAACAACCCTAGTGTTCCATGCACAGCATCAGTTAGGGATCCTAATGGAAGTGTATCATGCCCGAGTCCACCACTTAAGTTGGGCCTGGACAAGGTTTAAACAATCACATTAATCAAACAAAGTGGTGAAACATGCTTGGGTATGATATGCATCAAATAGTGCGAGTTAGGTATGGACCGGTTACTGGTTTCGCGGTAAACAGTTAAATTTTCTGACGGTTAAATTTACCGTGTCAAATTATAATTATCCTTGACACTGTGGTTATCGCACTTTGAAAAAGTAAACCAAACTTAGTAACAGATACAAACCAAAGTTAGCCCAAATACAGGTGTGCAGGTGCAGCATGCAACATGGATTCATTTTGTGGTGAAAACATAGCAGAAGACGGTGACAGCACTCAGGAAATTTTTCACCCATCTAAGAGGACAATGCATGACGTGGGGAAAATGTTATGGCTTGTCTGCTAACTTGGTAATAGCTTGCCAATAATGTATACTGAATCTTTCAGTGTTATCTATTCTTGTAAAAACATTGCATGTTGTCAGTAGTGTAATAGAGCTGGCAATTTTTGCCTAAGTGCAATTAAGAATGAATTCTGTGTATGTTTGTATTTGCTTATTCTTGAAATAGAACACCGTTTAACCCTCTGGAGTCCGAGGCCTCTCAGTCACTTATGAGGTAGTCTGACATGCCTTGACATTTTTAAATATTTCATCTAAAAAACATTTATCCTAAATTGCTACAAATGCTTTTATCCAACACAAATCCAGAATCAATAATCTGAAACTTTTTGTCATTTTTCTATTTTTTATTTAAATCAACTTTAAACATACACTTTTCAAAAGCCTATTCTCACTCTATCAAGATGTCCAGCACACCCTGCTGCATGTGACGTCGCCTCTACCAATGATGTCTGTGCATCCAGTTTGCCGTTCTGCCTGTGTCATCTTCCAAATATGACCCGCTGCCTGCCGATTGGATGGAGCGTTGGCACCGGCTTGCCATCTCCCCCCTGCTCCCCTTTTGTGTCTCAAAATTTACTGTATCTGACTCTCCCTGCTGGTCCCTGGAGGATGGGTTCCCCCTTTGAGTCTGGTCCCTCCCAAGGTTTCTTCCTTCTAGGGAGTTTTTCCTTGCCACTGTCGCCTATGGCTTACTCACTGGGGGCTTTGGGTGGGGATGCTGTAAAGCGCTTTGAGACGATGTAATGTTGTGATATTGCGCTATACAAAAATAATTTTTTTGTTGTTGTATTTTCAGAGGTGCTGTGAAATTTTTAAAAAAATCATTAGAAATGTTTCTAGCCAAGATTTTTGAGCTTTTGTAGACAGTCCCTGGCAAAAGGTTGTACAGTCATGGCTGAAAGTTTTGAGAATGACACAAATATTGATTTTCAAAGTTTGCTGCTTCAGTGTTTGTAGATCTTTTTGTCATGTTTCTATGGTATACTGAAGTATAATTACAAACATTTCATAAGTGTCAAAGGATTTTATTGACAATTACATTAAGTTTATGCAAAGAGGCAATATTTGCAGTATTGGCCCTTCTTTTTCCAGACCTCTGCAATTCGCCCTGGCATGCTGTCAACCAACTCCTGGGCCAAGTCCTGACTGACAGCAGCCCATTCTTGCATAATCAATACTTGGAGTTTGTCAGAATTTGTTTGTCCACCCGCCTGTTGAGGATTGACCACAAGTTCTCAACAGGATTAAGGTCTGGGGAGTTTCCTGGCCATGGACCGAAAATGTTGATGTTTTGTTCCCCGAGCCACTTAGTTATCACTTTTGCCTTATGGCACAGTGGATGGTTGGGAGAAGTTGTTCTCAGAGGAGCATTTTGGTACCATTCTTTATTCATTGATGGTCTTAGGCAAAATTGTGAGTGAGCCCATTCCCATGGCTGACAAGCAACTCCACACATGGTCTCAGGATGCTTTACTGTTGGCAGGACACAGGACTAATGGTAGCGCTCACCTTTTCTTCTCCGGTCAATCCCTTATTCCAGATGCCGCAAACAATCAGAAAGGGGCCCACATAGCAGACAGGTCTGGCCCGGATCTGGCGTAAAGCCGGCACTGCTGGCTGAGTTCTGGCATGGCAAGTGGTATGTCAACCAGATATGGGCCAGGTCTGGCAATGATGGCACTGTTTACATTATGGCATGCCAGATGTGGCCCGATTGTGGTTTGGTCTATGTGGCCCAGGCACATAGAAGGCAGGTCTGGTCCAGATCTGGTGTCAAGCCGGCACTGCTGCCCAGTTAGCAAGCACATGTGGGCCGATTCTCGCTGAGTTGTGGCACATTCGGTTCACTGTCAGCAACGGCAAAAGATTGCGGGTCGATTGTGGGCCTAGCACGGCAAGTGATTCTGGCTGACTGTCAGCATTTTTCATCTGGGCCAAAACCGTTCTGAGTGCGGCGAGCGATTCTGGCTGACTGTCGGCATTTTTCGAGTGGGCTAGAACCGTTCTGAGCACAGCAAACGATTCTGGCTGACAGTTGGCATTTTGCGTGTCAGATGACTTTGGCTGACAGTCATATATTTCAGTATTGGTAACATGCTTTGTGTCGTACCTAGCCCTCACCTGGCGTAAAATTCTGGCCTGATGTCAAATAAATATTCTCAAAAAAATTTGAACCAGAACTAGTCTTAACATGGAAGATCATTCTGACTACAGTCTATAGGAGGGGTCACCATCATGGTGCCCATGGGCACCAGTGCTCCCCCGAGGACCACATGAGTTGCCCCCGGTGACTGTTCTAAAAATAGCACAACTCACCATTGAGCAGCATCTAAAATGTAATTTTATCCTGTTGATATTCTTCTTTAATCACATTTGCATTTATATAGATTTGAAAATGGCAATATCTAAAAGAAAGCATTTAAAACATGTTTATTATACATGATTTAAGAAGAATGTATCAAACTGGTAGCCCTTCATAGGGCTCAGTACCCATGAAGTAGCTCCCAGTTTCAAAAAGGTGACCCCTGGTCTTAGTCTATATACTGCATGAGTGTACCAGGTTTTCATTTCACTATGTTGTATATGTAAATCTGCAAGATGTCACCTGAGTCTGTTCGAGCATTGGTAATGCTTTGTCCCATACCTGACCCTTATCTGGCATAAAATTGTGGCTAAAGGCTCTGCTCTCAATTATATCATAACCACTGTCTATTTAGGATAAAGCCTATACTAAAGAACATGAGAAACACAATAAAGAGCCAATGGCTGACATACAAAAAGACTCCAAGCTCCAGCTGCTGAAATAGTACAGTCCCACTGATATGATCATTTTTTTTGTCTCACATTGGAAAACCATTAAAACTTATTGGATATTTTTTGTTAACTATATTGTCAAACATTATTTTTCATCTGACTTATGTTTACTTAAAAAAAGGAAAAGTAAAAACAAATGAAATCATTAATTTATCTTCTCTAAAATCTTGTCTTTTAAAAATATACACTCACCTAAAGGATTATTAGGAACACCATACTAATACGGTGTTTGACCCCCTTTCGCCTTCAGAACTGCCTTAAT